AAAAAACGAACCATTGCTTAATTAGTTAATGATACCAATCAGTACCTAATAAAAATAAATCATACAATAAAAAGTTTCCACGTTCAGTCCTGGCCGGGGGGAAATAAATAAGGTTTAGAAAAAAAAAAAAAGAGTACGTACCATAGCTTGAATAATTAGTGATAACGTCTAAGGTTGAAGAATATGTATCCCAGTAGAGGAAGTACGAGCCATCGAGATCAATATTCAACTGGTCGAGCATTGCCTTGAGTTTGGAGTTGAAGACTGATGCCAAGTGGTTTGTTGACTCAACACATGACGACGTATTCCCCGAGTTCCCTATCTGCTCCGGGATGCACCCAAGCGGTCCGAGGCCAGTGATTAAAAATTTCCTCCCTCCTAAATTATACAAATCCTGAAATAAACACAACTTAAATTTTTTTTATAATAATATTTATAGGAAAAGATACCCTTTAATTGGGTTTACTAATCAATGTTTTTCCATAAGAAACAGAGCAGTTCGGAATAGTAGCCACGCTGTACGTTTACCTTGAGTTGCCTGTTGAAATGATGCAGGAGTAGGTCAGGTTCGGAATAGTAGCCACGCTGTACGTTTACCTTGAGTTGCCTGTTGAAATGATGCAGGAGTAGGTCAGCAAAAGTTTCAGGCGTGTATTTCTTAGGTTTATTAGAGAGAGGGAGCAGGTAGTTGTTGAGATAGTCATTGTTGCCAACACAAACAAAGTACAGAGAATTCTTGAGGTAATCTCCAACATCTCCTCCCAGGAGAGAGTTTAATTCTTCCAACGTCTTCCCAAAATTTTGGATTTGTTCGTCCAGCGGGAATAATTGTCCCTGTTAACAACACAGCACAACGCACGAATGAATTTTCATCGGATAGCATGATTAAAGGGAGAATTTAACAGACATAAACTCCCCTTACGTACAAATAGAGTTCCTGTTTCATTAAGAATTCCAGACGCAGCGGATGCATAATTTACTCCTTGCAATATTTTCGAACCCACTGTGTTTGGATTATTATATGGAGGGATGAGCGGTAGTCCCATGCGAAAGCCTGCAAGAAGAACTTTTATGTTAGCAAATTAATTTGTTCCCTTTTTTTTTTATTATTATTTTTTATTTTCAAATTGACCGTTGATTATCTTTCATATAATTAATTCATAACTAAATTAATAATATACAAAAAGAGGCACAGGTATGGACATAAGCAACTCGTGCAGTTCATGTAAATTGGTATGTTATTTTGCTCTGCTCTGCTCTCCGCTACGCTCAGAGGCTACACTTTTGAGAAAACTAGTAAAAACGACTTGACTCCATATGTGGGCGCCGGAGCTCTAACAACGGAGCAGGAAAATCACATATCGTTGGTCCTTAAACTCACCAAGTCAATATATACGCTACTATTATATTATTTTGAGCATCGATTAAGTCCTTACCCAAGTGATCTGCAACGGTACCGCCATTACAAAACCTCCCCGTGACTCCTTCAGGGAAATCAACGCCGTTAGGTTTGTAGTTAGCCTTTGCTAATGTTGTCAGGTTGTTGTTGTTCCCCGGATCCACCAACGAGTCCCCAAACACGAACATGGCCGGAACCTCAGCTCCACCGATCACCGAGCTCATCAAGCTCATCGCCAACAACAACCAGATCCATCCTCCTACTTTGCGCATCCTTATAAAAATCTTGAGTTACTTGCCAATGGCCGATGAGTATGCATGCATTTAAATACGAAGATGTACGTAGATGTTGATATAGACTTGTGCGGTAAACAATTGGGCGCAGGTTGCGGTCCGTGGAAGCACAGGAGCGTTAACAGAGCCAACAACGATATGGTCAGTGTTCCCATTAGATTTTTATGGAGACACTCCGTGGGAAGTTGAAGTGTGTGGAAAACTATTGCATATTTTGGCTGAATTTGTCACTTCTGGGTGTCGATGGAGACATTCGATCGATCGTGAGCTAAAAATCTCAGTTGCACAGGGGGTATCTGTTTGGTAATTGCGTGTTGCCACCCGAGACTGAGAGCTGAGGACTGATTCTTACCATATATCTAACATGCATCCTGTACTGTCGGCTAAATTTTTGTCCTACAGTTTACATTACTGATGATTGAAAAGCTTCCCAGCCAAACATTCCTTTCCCATACAAACTTTCTTGCAGAACTTTTTTTCTCTAAATATTAAAGAAACGGCTAAATACTCATATTGGTATTTTAATTTCATCCCATTTACCAAGAAGGTATTTTAATTAGGCAAACCTACTTTAAGGCATTTTAATTGATTCAACTTACCAACAATGCCATTTTTCTCGTCAGCGACCAGTTTTCCGGCGAGAGCTCGTCACGTGCGTGATACGTGATGACTTAAACTATTTTTTAGCTGCTAATGTGGCATGAATCTATCCTATTTTGGGTGAATTTGGATTTTAGAGGGTTAATTCCCGCCTTTAAACACTGCCACATCAGAAAATTCGTGCTACATCAGCAGCTAAAAACAGTTTAAGTCATCACGTGCCACGTACGTAACGAGCTCGCACCGTAAAACTGGTCGCCGACGAGAAAAAGGACCTTGTTGGTAAGTTAAATCAATTAAAATGCCTTAAAGTAGGTTTGCCTAATTAAAATACCTTCTTGGTAAATGGGGTGGAATTAAAATACTAATATGGGTATTTAGCCTTAAAGAAACATTCTTTTATATGTCACATTTTCCTTCATACTATTAGTAATAGTACGAAGGAAAATGTGAACTTAACATGCTTTAAAGGTGTACATCTGATTACTACATTTTTAGACTATAAAATAAGCAGAATATGACTTCTTGAATGTACATATATATGCAATAATAATCGAGAAAAATATTTGGGGAAAAAAAATCTTCATAATATGTGAAGAGTGGGATTTCAATTAGAAGCAACGCTATCAAGCATCATATACCTAATTTTGGGCCCGAGATAACTTTTTATTAGGAACGCCAGCTAATTTAGGGAGGTTAATACTCGAGATGATGGATGGATGGATGTATTTGTGCCAAAATTATTTTTCCTTGTAGGGAGAGAACAAAGAATTAATGCTAGATGGTTGGTTGAATAACCTAATAATTAATTTGGCAGTATTTTAAACACGTAGCGAGCTCGTGTTGTGTAACTTTAGGCATGCGTAAATAGTCCACAACTGGATAGTTATATGTGAACAAAAGATAGAGCAGTAATTTGGCTTGAAAACTAAACATGGAATCCCTTAAACTGGCATTAATTACAACCCCCAAGCGATTGGGTTTTTGTTGAGTCTGTCTCAGGTTTATTATAGTTGATACTATTGGATAGTTGGCCTTTTTTTTAAAATAAATAAATAAATAAATTAGCAGGTATTTCAGATAGATTGGTTCTGAATTTGTAAGACCCAAACCTTACTACGTTGGGCTTGGATCTTCAACGGAATAGCATCATAGATTCCACAGTTTGCCAAGGACATGGGCAAAAGGGTCCACGACTCCGCACCACAACATTCCCAGTTGCATGGGGTGCATGTTTGTACATTACTTGCATGTTTATGTACGTGGTGTATAGCTATACCGGTCTGCATGTTTGTATGCACACATGCATATATGCATCTTCCGTATGAAAACAAATACAAACGTATGGGTACCAACTACTAGTTACCATTATACTTTTCGAGTTACGGAGAAATAACAGAAAATCGATCATACCTCTGTACAGTTGCATAATTTGTTCACATATATTTAGTGCCGCGTGTAATTTATAGTGGGATTGACCACTTGCAGCATAATACTGTCAGCATAGGTAAATAAATGTGTAAAAACTGATGAAAAATATGAGTAAATGTGAGTAGAGCTGGATAAGGTACTGAATAAAATTTACAAAAGGAGGTGCAAGAAAACAAGAACAAAACTATAACAAGCCGGAAAGCACTGAGACACACAACGTAGAATAACGCAGAGATATTCCACAATGTTAAATAAGGCTCAGGTTTTAATTTTTTTCCTCATTCCATGCAAGATACCTGACAACAGTGCCAAATAGATCTCAGAATGATACCAACAGAAGAAACCAAAAGACAATATTGCATTCATAAATCAATAAATATGATCCAACAAATTGAAGAACAAGGCCACAACTTCAAAATCTGACCCAAATAAACCAATGCTGATTTATTTGTTAGACCTTCCAAACTAAAAATTCAAAAAAGAAAATTAAGTGACTCCTGTTATCTACATGTATGTGCCAATTGTTGAGAATCTGAGATGTCGTTTTTGGCTCAGAAACCTGCTTGAGTCAGTCACTGTTTTCCTCTCTAGTGCACCACCAAAGACCAACTGGGAGCTCGCCGATCTCCTTCCCCAGTCACTCACAAAGGGGATCGCACAAAGGGGTTGAGAGCACAAAGCTCACAGGAGCACAAAGTCGCAGAAAGGGGGAGATCGCACACAGCAGAGGGAAGTTCAAGCTCAGATCTTCACCTCACCACCTCTACTTCCTCTTCATCCCTCTCCCAAGCTACTACCAACCCATTACCCATATATAGGGATGGGGGCAGCCGACAAGGGAGAGGAGCTAGGGAAGAAAACGAAGGAGGGAGCCGACCTAGGGATGAAATCACAGCGGCGGCCATCAAATCCAGAGATCGCGAAGACTTCCAGAGATCGCGAAGACTTAGGAGGAGGTGAGAACCATCGGGTAGGTGAGGGAAAATAGAGGGGCTAGGGCACAAGTGGGGGAGCTGGGCATTTAGTGGAATGGGCCAACTTATTGGGCCAACAAAACAACCAACAATCTCCACCTTTGGCCCAAGGTAGTGCACATAGGAAAAACACGGAACTGCAGGACTCATCATCGCCAAATTATTACTTGTATAATCACAAAGAAGATACAAGCAATGGTAGAGAATACACAAAGTAAACTCTAGATCACAAAGATCGGGGTAAGATCACCAAGCATACCAAGCCCACAAAGGACCGAACTCTACCAAACGGTCATCGAGTTCAAAGAGAAAAATCACAAAGCTACTAACAAGCACAAAGCAAGTTAATAGGCCACAAAGGCAACACACAAAGCAAAAG